CCTAATGTTAAAGGATATCCAGAACGCCACCAGCGGAACAACCGGTCAGAGTGAAGACGAGGTGCTGGGAGCCCTCGTAGAGATCGAACTGCAGAGACTGTCCAATTTGATCGACGAACAGAAGGAGTTTGTTCTGCAAAGAGCGCGACTGCTCTTGCAAGTTCTACAAGAACTCTCCTTCCTCAAGAACGCGGTGCCAGGCTCGGCGGCAAGTTTTGCCAGTTTCATTCAGAACGCCGCCAACGACAACTTAGCCGACACCGCGGCTCTCGAGACAGTCAAACTCCTCCTCGAGTACTCGCAGGAGAACCCTGTATCGCCGAGGCGACTTCTTTCAAGAGCCGGCGGCGAGGCCCCATTCACGCTCATTGGGGTCCAAGAAGCCGCCGTCGGCATGAAAGAAGTCGACCTGCGGATGGCCAGGGTCGAGGACCACCTGGAGGTTCTCTTGCGGGGACTCCGCAGATTCCGTTTCCTGGGTGTCGTCAAGGGCGCTTTCGAGAGCACTTCGCCCCCGGGCGAATGTTCGACATGCGGCGAGACGCCGTTACACAAGGCAGGGCTTTCGGTCGCAACTCAATGCGGCCACCTCCTGTGCGAACAGTGTCTCTCGAAGGACTGCTGTGAGTTCCGGGGAGCTGGAGACATCATTCCAGTCTCCCTTTTCGAACTCCGCGCGACCCTGGGGGCTCCCGCCTCAGTGGCGGGGGCTAGGATGCGGCTCGCGGTGGCCATCGTCCAGATGGCTACCCAGAATGGAGACTCGGTCCTGGTGTTTGCCCAATTCGAGGGCATGAAAACCGCCTTTGTCAAGGCGTGCCGCGCGGCAGGCGTCATCTGCCACGATGGCTACCAGGGCGCTCAGGCGCGGGCGGCTGTGGAAGCCTTCCAGCGGCAGGGTGCTGCCGTCCTTGTTCTCAAGGTCGACAGTCCCGACGCAGCTGGTTGGAATCTCCAGGTCGCCAACCAAGTCCTCTTTCTGGCCCCTTTGGCGGCGGGCGAGGAGGAGCGTATGGCCACCATGCGCCAGGCCGTTGGTCGGTCATGGCGACCAGGCCAGAAGAAGGAAGTACGTGTCCATCTTCTGGCTGCCAAGGCCACCGACGAGCCTGGTGTGTCAGGGTGGCCTACTGTTGACCCATGAGGAAGGGCGGGCGGTTGTTCTTGTGCGGTGGTTTGGTTCCGGGGGTGCTGGTGGATGGACAGAAAGGGAGGGGAGGGTGGAGGCAGAGGCCTCGTGCTGTTCAGACACTTTCTTGTTTCTTTTTTTTTTATTTTTTGTATTGAATTTTTGAATGAAAAAAAGGAAATGGACAAAACAAGATTGAAGCAGTCTTCAAGTGTCCGTTGTCGTGCGCTGAGTGCATCGTGCGTCCCCACTGTTTTGTGCATTTTTGAGTGATGTCGGCGTCCCGTTACATCTTCCTCTGCGGCTATTATGACATTCTTTTGTCCACGATCGTGCGCTGACTTCAGTTAAGGAAGGCTTGGTATGACGAGAGCGGCCGCGCATGGGCCATCGTGCTGTGATGGAGTCTTGGTCTATTTGATGACGACGGCTTCGCGCATTTCCCATTTAACCCCTGCTCCCGATATCTCGCACTCGACCTCTGCTGACATCGGCCTCGAAAAGATGATACGTTCGTCCTACTTACATCGTCATAGACAAGCTGTTCAGGATTCCCGCCTAGGTTATGGACCAGATTCACAATGGGATAGAATTCATTCGTCCTCCAACCACATCGTTATAAGCGAGTCTTACGATGCATGCATCCCTTGCTCCCATCACTCTGGATAGATTGAGACTCGTCCTCCGCTTATCGATCAACGCTGGAAGTTGCACATGGACTATATCCGCTCTCTATTGACAATGCCCTGGGCATAGTGAGGGCGGACCTCTGGTCACATCGCTGCGGACTTCTCATATATCTCATTCGCTCTCTGCTCATATAGTTGTGGGTCATTCCATGAGCAGTATTTGTGCCCCGTCGATGCCCCTTATGCAGCGGTGGATACGACACATTCGTCCTTCACTCACACCATGATTAACCGCTCGACGTTACCAACTGTCGAACGTTGTGCAGATAGTTCCACATTCAACTTCTTTTAACCTGCCTGTATTTGAGCTCTATTTTTCCTTACAGCTTGTCGTTAAGACTGTTGTTAGCCGCCACACTCAGTATTCACTCGTGTTGAGTTCGTCAAATGGTGTATGCTATTCGAGAATATATCTACCGCTGCCCACACGGAATGGGATATGGGCAATCATAGGGTGTTGTCATTTGTAGTCATTATCGCCTGCAACCTGAACCCTGATTGTGGAAAGAACTTGCAAAATCTCAGAAAAGCAATCAAAAAAAGAAGCTCACATCTGAAGCTCACATCCGACTTCAATTTCTCATAAGTGCGACAATCGTCGCTCCAGTGATCCATCAAACAACCAAATTATGATTTTTGGATCACCATATATCACTTCTACGGCTCTTTCTGGAGGCTGGTTGTATAGAATGGCTTCAACTGAGCTCACTTTCCTGGTCTCGGATTTTCGTTGTCGATGCCACCCCTGAAACTGACTCAGCCTCGTACGGGCTTACCGTCAAGTCACATGACCACCGAGTTTGCTGGGCCATCTGATGCTCGGCAGCCTTTCCCAAATTTACAACCAACCTCCAGGACGAACCTCAGCAGATAAAATCACGACGCCCTGTACCGAGTAGTTCGAGATATTGAGGTCAAAATGATATTTCCGATCTCTTTTGCTGCTTATCCACAGTTGATTCTGGGGCGCAGCGAATGAATTCTTGGGTGTTCGTGGCGCTGTTCTTGCGGCAACAACCCCCCTTTTTTGGTGGCGTTTTGCGGCTCTCTTCCTGTGTCACCTGGTGCTCTGTCCTTGTCCTGTCCAAACCGTCTGCCCAAGTAAGGTGGTGATTTTCATTGCATTGAATGGGATATGCCTTGGCTGTCAACGGATTTGTCGTTTCACTCCCACCAGCCTCCTTTCTCACCTCCCAATTCCGCACATATCGACTATCAAGCGGTCTTCGTATTTCGTTGCACCCTCGGTTTCCTCTAGTTAGCCCCTGAACTTTGCTTTGGGCCAACAGTCGCATCGAATCTTCCTGTCTCAAGGGATAGGAAGGCTATCTCAAGGACCGCCGCAAGGAAGAGATGGATCGTCGCCCCCTTTTTTCGAGCAATAACTCGATGGGCTATGGAAATCGCGATTCTCGAAGAAATTTCGCGCTCGATCGACCCACCACACGCCAGATTGATCTTGGGCTAACCGGACTGGATCCGAGGCGATGCCGCAGATGGGGAAGTGCTGCCATTCTGCTGGGGGCCCAACACCAAATTTAGATCCCAATCTGAGTTCTGCACTTTCGCCATGCAATAATTCTGCATGCGGAGTCGGGGGCCAATTTGAAGAACTCGCTCGAACTGAGATCTATCGCAACTCTCGTGCCAGGACCTACGTCTTCCATCTCCACGTGTTTCCACCAACAATGACACGGTCCTTTCTCGGCGATCTTCCTCACATATCTCTTTCGCTTTCCGACCGGCCTATTCTCTCCCTTGGCTTTCCCCGTACACCCGCGAGTCTTCCACCAGCAAGACGGGAGGAGTAGGAGCAGTATATACAAGTACAAGAGCGAATCAGCGGTGGGCGTCGGTGGGTTCTTAGACTGGGCGAAGAAGCCACCAAAAACGGACACCGAAATTGTATGGTTGACTGGGGCGGACTCCGCCCTTGATGCGGCACATCCACCATTGGATCTCGGGATCAGGCCCTCCCCTGGATGTCTTGCTACAAGGTTGTTCAACCCATCTTGGGCGCCAGCGGTGCCAGCTGAGGCTGAGAGATGATAAGGGAGAGATACACAAGCGTTACGATAGTCGCCACAAAATCACTCGTAAATGGTTTGTGGTAAAGACAGATTTAGATACGATATACGAAAAAGACCCATCTGTGCGACGTGAACTGTGATGTTGCTGTGGCCCCCTTTCCACCCAAGTTGGCCAGGAAATTTTTGTTGGATGTACTATCGTTGATTTTGATTTTCCATCTACCCGGGGGATTCTTGGGGCACGAGGGGCATGAGGACTACGGCGAATGACCTCGGGATGTTTGCCAGGGCATTGTTCTGATGGCAATATTCCGACGTCATTTGCCCGGGCCTCAACAAAGAGTAAAGAGAGATTTCGCAGAAATTTCTGTTGGAGTTGGGGATGGGAGATGGACAAGATGGGGAGTGGGCTTCGGGTTTAACTGGCGGGACAATCAAGCGGGAAAGCTAGTGTGGGCCACTAGGCCGCCGAACAGGCCTTGACGCTTGCAGTGACCGCCTCAGCGAATAGATCGACGGTTGTGGCGAGGCTAGGCCGTCCCGGTGCCCAATCACCCCCCAGAGATTTCCGGTTGGTCCTTGCTCGGCGATGCATCTGTGGGCGCTGGGCTGCGAGGGCTGCTCCCAACACCTGAAATCTGATTGTCTGGAGGCTCACAGAGAGGAGCTTCAGGCGTTGTTTGGCTGCGGCCCGCCTAGAGATCCAGCTAAACCCCGTTGTGCAGCACCCGCTTCATCCAACAGGCCCAAAACAGCGTCAGGGACACATCTCAGCAACGTCGTTGCTCTAATATACCCTGCGCCTTCGTGTCTCTCGCTCACACACTGCACTACAGTTTCCCTCTTCTTCACCCATCGCTGACTTTTCATTTCTTCTCTCCTTCCGCCTCCTTGTCTTCAGTCAGAAGACTTTCCTCGACCTCTTCTCCACCCGTCCGACCTTTTCACTCCTTACCTCCGCCTGCGACAGTATAGAATTCGGGCAATCCATTTTGGGACATCGGTAATATTGGCGTAATCCCGGTCTCCTTTTTTCGGTCCACAGAGCCCTGCACGTTCACCTCTTCCGTCTCCTTTTTACGACCGCGATCGACCCTCTGGCAAGAGCCCGCCTCCTCAGTTGCATGAGATAGACCTTTCTCCCTCACCATCATGGCTCCCGCCGTCAACGGTGTCAATGGCACCAAACCCTTGGCCAACGGCACCCCCAGCTCGTGGCAAGCAAAGCATAGTGTGGCAGATCACTTCATTGGAGGGAACAGACTAGGGAAGGCTCCTCCGAGCAAGGTCAAGGACTTCGTTCAGGAGCACGATGGGCACACTGTCATTACCTCAGTAAGTGGACGTCCGAGAGACAAAATCCGTGTGTCTGTGCGCAGCCGCAAGCTGACAATGCTGAATTTCAGGTGCTCATTGCAAACAACGGTATTGCAGCAGTCAAGGAAATCCGCTCCGTACGGAAATGGGCCTACGAGATGTTCGGCGACGAGCGGGCCATCCAGTTCACTGTGATGGCCACGCCAGAAGATTTACAGGCAAATGCGGACTACATTCGTATGGCTGATCAATACGTCGAGGTACGTAAGCTACGCTAAAACAAAAAGGAGCAAGAACAAGAGGAGCAGCGCTGACGTCTTTGACAATAGGTGCCCGGAGGTACAAATAACAACAATTATGCCAATGTCGAGCTGATTGTTGATATCGCCGAACGGATGAACGTCCACGCCGTCTGGGCCGGCTGGGGTCACGCCTCAGAAAATCCCAAATTACCCGAATCCCTGGCGGCCTCACCCAAGAAGATTGTGTTTATTGGCCCTCCAGGGTCGGCAATGCGATCTCTGGGTGACAAAATTTCTTCCACAATCGTCGCACAGCACGCAAAGGTGCCCTGCATCCCCTGGTCAGGAGAGGGCGTTGATGAGGTAGAAATCGACAAAGACGGTATCGTGACCGTCAAGGATGATGTCTACGAGAAAGGCTGCGTACACTCTGCAGAAGAAGGTCTGGCAGCCGCCAGGAAGATTGGTTTCCCCGTGATGGTCAAGGCGTCCGAAGGTGGTGGTGGCAAAGGAATTCGAAAAGTCGAAGACGAGTCGCAGTTCGTGGAGCTCTACAACGCCGCCGCTAATGAAATTCCGGGATCTCCCATCTTTATCATGAAGCTGGCAGGAAATGCCCGTCACTTGGAAGTGCAGTTGCTGGCTGACCAGTATGGCAACAACATCTCCATCTTTGGCAGAGATTGCTCCGTTCAGCGAAGACATCAGAAGATCATCGAAGAGGCTCCCGTTACCATTGCTAGCCAAGACACTTTCCGTAATATGGAGGCTGCAGCCGTCCGCCTCGGTGAGTTGGTCGGCTACGTCTCTGCCGGTACGGTGGAATACCTCTATTCACATGCAGACGACAAATTCTACTTCCTGGAGCTGAATCCCCGTCTCCAAGTCGAGCACCCTACAACTGAAATGGTCAGCGGCGTCAATCTACCTGCTGCTCAGCTGCAAGTTGCTATGGGTCTCCCGCTACACCGCATCCGTGACATTCGCTTGTTGTACGGAGTCGACCCTCACACGGCGACGGAAATCGATTTCCATTTCAAGAATGAAGCCAGCTTGAAGACCCAACGACGACCCCGTCCGAAGGGTCACTGCACAGCTTGCCGTATCACCTCGGAAGATCCGGGTGAGGGCTTCAAGCCGTCGAGCGGTACTATGCACGACCTCAACTTCCGTTCAAGCTCGAACGTCTGGGGTTATTTCTCCGTCTCCTCAAACTCTAGTATTCACAGTTTCTCCGATAGCCAGTTCGGGCATATTTTCGCCTACGGTGAGAACCGATCTGCTTCCCGCAAACATATGGTTGTCGCTCTGAAGGAACTGAGTATCCGAGGAGACTTCAGAACTACCATTGAATATCTCATCAAGCTGCTGGAAACTCCCGCTTTTGAGGACAATACTATTACCACTGGATGGCTCGATCAACTCATTTCCAACAAATTGACAGCCGAGCGACCTGACCAAATGCTCGCCGTTCTCGCTGGCGCCGTGACCAAAGCTCACATTGCCAGTGAGTCATGCATCGCTGAGTATCGCAGAGGACTCGAGAAGGGTCAAGTGCCCGCCAAAGACGTCCTCAAGACAGTCTTCCCAGTTGATTTCATCTATGAGGGTCATCGATACAAATTCACCGTCACAAGATCCAGTCTCGATAGCTATCACATTTTCATCAACGGGTCAAAGTGCTCCGTTGGCATCCGCACTCTCGCAGATGGTGGCCTGTTGATGCTGGTTGCCGGTCGATCTCACAGTCTCTATTGGAAAGAAGAACCTACGGCCATCCGCCTGAGCGTTGACAGCAAGACTTGCTTGTTGGAACAAGAGAATGACCCCACGCAGCTCCGAACTCCGTCCCCCGGAAAGCTGGTCAAATTTACCGTCGAAAACGGTGAACACGTCAAGGCCGGCCAGGCATATGCAGAGGTCGAGGTCATGAAGATGTACATGCCTCTCATTGCTCAGGAGGATGGTGTTGTGCAATTCATCAAACAGCCAGGAGCTACTCTGGAAGGTGGTGATATCCTGGGTATACTGGCTTTGGATGATCCCTCTCGGGTCAAGACCGCGGAGACATTCACTGGCCAATTACCAAACCTTGGACCCCCTCAGGTCGTGGGTAACAAGCCTCCTCAACGATTTGCTCTCCTCCATGGTATCCTCCAGAATATCCTGATGGGCTTCGACAACCAGGTCATCATGGCCTCGACACTCAAGGAGTTGGTGCAGGTATTGAGGGAGCCCGAGTTGCCATATGGTGAATGGGCTGCTAGATCGTCTGCTCTGCATTCGAGAACTCCGCAGAAGCTGGACGCTCAGCTTGAGCAAATTGTTGAGCGAGCACATTCTCGCCAAGCTGAGTTTCCGGCGAAGCAACTTCAAAAGGCCATCAACCGCTACATTGAGGAGAACATGTCCACAAACGACGGAGCCGCGCTTCACTCCACTTTGCAACCTCTTGAGGATGTTTGTGCAAGATACGCTGATGGCTTGAAGATCCACGAATACAACGTCTTCATCGGGCTCCTCGATCAGTATTACCAAGTTGAGAAACTCTTTGCTTCTGGCACCGCTAGAGATGAAGACGTGATCTTGAAACTGCGGGAACAGAATAAAGATGATCTCATCTCAGTGGTTTGGACTGTCTTGTCCCACACCCGCGTGTCTGCCAAGAACAATTTGATCATCGCCATTTTGGATCTTTACAGACCGAATCAACCAAACGTTGGAAACGTTGGCAAATACTTCAGACCAGCTCTGCGCCGACTCACCGAGCTTGAATCACGTGCAACTGCGAAGGTTGCGCTCAAGGCTCGCGAGCTGCTCATTCTCTGCGCCTTGCCTTCTCTGGAGGAGAGAGCGTCTCAGATGGAGCATATCCTCAAATCTTCCGTGGTTGAATCCAAGTATGGAGAGACCGGCTGGGAGCATCGCGAGCCGGACCTTGACGTGTTGAGGGAAGTAGTGGACTCTCGTTACACCGTATTTGATGTGTTGCCCCTCTTCTTCGCTCATCATGATCCATGGGTTGGTCTCGCCGCTCTCGAAGTGTACGTGCGACGTGCCTACCGTGCCTATACCGTCAAGGAAGTCGAGTATCACAACGACGTTGAGCCGCCGTTTTACCTCTCATGGGACTTTGTCCTTCGCAAAGTGGGACAATCAGAGTTCGGGCTGCCACTAGCATCTTCATACCCATCAGGACAGGCAACTCCTTCCCAGAACGGCAATCAGTTCAAACGTATTGCATCCGTCAGTGACTTATCATACCTCAACAAGCTGCAAGGAGACGACGAGCCTTCGCGCAAGGGTGTCATTGCCCCTTGCCACTATCTGGATGAGGTTGATGAATGTCTCGCTCGCGCCCTCGAGGCGTTCCCCAAAGGGGCTCCAGAGAAGCGCCCTACTACGCAACATCTTATGCCGACCCTCGACAGCCAGAGAAGGCCACAAAAGCAGGAGACGCTTGAAGACGATTTGACCAACGTCTGCAACATTGCCATCCGCGACATTGAAAACCTGACCGACGAAGAGATTCTGAATCGTGCACAAAGCTTGATCGAGGAGTACAAGTCGGAATTGTTGGCTCGCAAGGTCCGTCGTATCACCTTCATCTGTGGCCACAAAGAAGGTACCTACCCTGGATACTTCACCTTCCGTGGGCCGACGTACGAGGAAGACCTTAGCATTCGTCACAATGAACCTGCCCTCGCTTTCCAGCTTGAACTTGGAAGATTGTCCAAGTTCAAGATTAAACCGGTCTTTACCGAAAACAGAAATATCCACATTTACGAGGCCATTGGCAAGGGCGACGACAGGGACAAGGTCGTTGATAAGCGTTACTTCACCCGTGCTGTGGTTCGACCGGGACGTCTCAAGGATGAGATCCCTACCGCTGAGTACCTTATCTCAGAGACTGATCGATTGGTCAACGACATCTGCGACGCTCTTGAGATCATCGGCAACAACAACTCTGATTTGAACCACATCTTTATCAACTTCACTCCGGTGTTCAATTTGCAACCTAGAGACGTGGAGGAGCAAGTTGCTGGCTTCTTGGAGCGCTTCTCTCGCAGATTCCTCCGCCTTCGAGTAACTGGCGCTGAGATCAGAATCCTTTGCACAGACCCCGAGAGTGGATTGCCATATCCTTTGCGCGTCATCATCACGAACACTTCTGGGTATGTCGTCAAAGTAGAGACATATGTCGAAAAGAAGGCGCGCAATGGCGAGTGGGTATTCGAGAGCATCGGTGGCACTACCAAGATTGGTGCCATGCATCTGCGCCCTGTTTCCACACCTTACCCTACCAAGGAGTGGCTGCAGCCGAAACGTTACAAGGCTCACCTTATGGGCACTCAGTATGTGTACGATTTCCCTGAGCTATTCAGACAGGCCATCTACAACTGCTGGAACAAGGCCGTCGCGAAACATGCTCCGCTGGCTGAGTCCAAACCGGAGATTGCGACTTGCCTTGAGTATAACGAGCTGATCCTCGATGATGGTGATAATGTCACCGAGGTGTCCCGTGAAGCGGGTACTAATACTTGCGGTATGGTCGCTTGGATTTTGACCGCCAAAACTCCAGAATACCCAAGAGGCAGAAGATTCATCATCATTGCCAACGATATCACCTACCAGATCGGCTCTTTCGGCCCTGTGGAGGACAAGTTTTTCAACAAGTGCACAGAATACGCCCGAAAACTTGGTATTCCCCGTATCTATCTTTCTGCCAACTCTGGTGCCCGTATTGGTATGGCCGAGGAACTTATTCCTCACTTCTCCGTTGCGTGGAACGACGAGTCGAACCCAAGCTCGGGCTTCAAGTATCTTTACCTGACTCCTGAGAAGAGGGAGTTGCTGAGCAAGACTGACATCATCACCGAGAAGGTCGTCGAGGATGGCGAGGAGCGACACAAGATCACGACCATTGTTGGTGCCAAGGACGGACTGGGCGTGGAATGCTTGCGTGGCTCTGGTCTCATTGCTGGGGCTACATCTAGGGCTTATGAGGACATCTTTACCTTGACTCTTGTCACCTGTCGCTCCGTCGGTATCGGTGCTTACCTTGTCCGTCTTGGTCAACGTGCTATTCAGATCGAAGGTCAGCCAATTATCCTGACTGGTGCCCCTGCCCTCAACAAGGTGCTGGGCAAGGAAGTTTACACTTCAAACTTGCAGCTCGGTGGTACCCAAATCATGTACAAGAACGGTGTTTCCCACATGACTGCCAGTGATGACTTCCAAGGTGTCGAGAAGATTGTGGAATGGCTGTCCTTTGTCCCCGACAAGAAGGGCCAACCGGTTCCAGTTAGCCCGCCGTCAGACCCCTGGGATCGCGACATCACGTTCTACCCACCGAAGGGACCTTACGATGTGAGGCACCTCATCGGGGGCAAGGAGGATGAGGAAGGTTTCCTGTCTGGTCTTTTCGACAAGGACTCCTTCCAAGAAGCTCTAGGTGGCTGGGCCAGAACCGTGGTTGTGGGTCGTGCTCGACTGGGTGGCATCCCCATGGGTGTGATCGCAGTTGAGACCCGCACTGTCGAGAACGTCACGCCCGCCGACCCTGCAAATGCTGACTCTATGGAGCAAATTGTGCAAGAGGCCGGAGGCGTGTGGTTCCCCAACTCCGCCTTCAAGACCGCACAAGCCCTGAGAGACTTCAACTTCGGGGAGCAACTCCCATGTATGATCCTCGCCAACTGGCGGGGTTTCTCTGGAGGTCAGCGAGACATGTACAACGAGGTGCTCAAATATGGTTCGTACATCGTCGATGCCCTCGTCAAGTACGAGCAGCCGGTCTTCGTCTACATTCCTCCTTTCGGTGAGCTCCGTGGTGGTTCATGGGTAAGTTTACATCCCTCCATATTCTGCCGATCAATGCTAATACATCTGCTAGGTCGTTGTTGACCCAACCATCAACCCTGAACAGATGGAGATGTATGCGGACATCGAGTCGCGTGGTGGTGTCTTGGAGCCAGAGGGTATTGTTGGCATCAAATACCGAAAAGAAAGACAGCTGGAGACCATGGCCCGCTTGGATCCCACATACGCCGGGCTTAAGGCTCAGTCTCTCGCCAAAAACTTGAGTGCTGAGCAACTCAACGCTATCAAGGCCAAGATGACTGAGCGTGAGCAACTCCTTGGACCGATTTACCTGCAAATTGCCCTTCAATTCGCCGATCTGCACGACCGTGCGGGACGTATGCAGGCCAAGGGAACAATCCGGATGCCTTTGGAATGGAAGAATGCCAGACGTTTCTTCTACTGGCGTCTTCGAAGGAGACTGTCTGAGGAGGTCCTTCTCAAGAAAATCAACAGCAGCTTGGCTGCAGGCCAGGCTCCGGTGACCACCGCCAATGGCATGACACAAAGGGAGCAGAACCTAGCCACACTCAAGAACTGGTCTGGTCTGTTGGATGCCGAGTTCGAGAAGGATGACCGCAAGGTGGCTGAATGGTATGAGAGCCACAGGAAGGAGGTGTATGCCAAGATTGACGCCGTCAAGACAGAGGCGGTCAGCAAACGAGTCGCCGAGTTATTGATGGGTAACAAGGAAGGTGGATTGAAGGGTGTCCGTGAAGTATTGAGCCTTGTGCCCACGAGTGAGCGGGAGCAGTTGGTCAAATACTTGACCGGTGCATAAGGGCTGTAGAGAGTATAGATGTGACGATGGGTTTTGGTTGGCATGAAACTTGGAACGCCAGAGGGTCATGAGGGAACTTTTTGGAGCGCAATGGGTCTGGCTGAGGGGACTTTCTATGGTCTTTCCGTTTTGTTAGTTTCATTCGCGTATACATAGCATATTAAAAGCGGAGTTATACACTGACATGTGTCTTGTTACTTCTTGTCATTGATCATCAGTGGATGTTGAGCATGGACATGCCATCAAGATTTCAACACAAAAGCAGGGCTAGCAATGAGATTGTCTCTGTAACTTACAAGGCATGGTCGGGCACGACTGCCCTGGTCTCGTGGTTTCGAGCGGGATGAACACCATGGTTTGAGTCTCTGCCAGCCAGTAACGATCCGTGCTAGAATTGATGTTGCTGACCATACTCTCAGCTGAGAACTATACGAATTCCCCCGCTTCGTATCCTTTTGAACCGTCCTCTTAACATATCCTCGCCGGCCCGGACACGATAATCTGCTTGCTTCAGCAGGGACTTCGGGCAGAATTGATTGGCATGAGTGCCTTGGCCGTCCCATATGTTGTGTGTCCCAAGGACACATTCACGTAGACCCTTCAACACAAATTGCTCCCTCCCTGATTGTTGCTAGGCTTCAGCACGCGGCCTGAGCCAGCTTCACCGGCTGGACAGGTCGTATTTAAAAGGTCCAGAATGCACCAATCTTGTGGTGCCCAACTTGAGAGTGATAAATGAAGCACTTGCCTAAGGGTTTCTCCTCCCAACTTCTTATGCCCTTGACCGTGTTGACTGCTCTTGCTACAAGATTTCAAACATCGCTGAACCAAGATCTTTCGAAAGCTCATCCTCACAGAACTCCGCTCTCGACTATTGTTCAACTATGGCAGTCCCAACAAAGCCGGCTTTTATCCACTATGGCGACTTCGATAGTACCACCCGCAAACTTCCGGTGATGGAATTCATGGAGCGCTTCCGCGACGACTACGACACAAAGTCCTTCGATCCAAAATGGTATGCTCCAGACCTTACGTATGTTGGGCCGGACGGGACTGTGTACGAGGGCCGTGATAAAGGCATCGAAGCCCTCAAAGCTTTGTATGGGCCGTTGCCCGGCTGGCGTCACGAAGCCTTCTATCTGAACTGCTACGAGATCGACTCTGGCTACGAGATGATTGGTAAAGCAACCCTCTGGGGCAACCTGCCAGGCGAGCCGCGCGAGGGAGAGTCGAAGAAGACCGACGCGGACGGGAAGAAGTGGGACCTGGCTATCCCCGGCACGTATCGATTTCAGTATGTCAAACAAGGAGACGGCTTTGCCTTGAAGAGGATCGAGATCACTGGGGACTCGAGTCCGTTGATGGTCGGCCTGCTCAAGAGGGGTGCTCTTTCTACCAAGGATTTGGGGATCTGAACTTGGGGAATGTGCCTTGTGTTAAAATGCATCGCCATCAGAGCGGAAAAGCGGATTTATTTTACGGGCGAGGGATATCAACCGTGATGAGGAATCTTCAGTCCCTCGAATGATCAGTTCTGACATGGAGGTGCCTTTCATCATTCTTTAATTGAGACCCAGTAGGAAAACTCCATCCGCTTCAAAGTCCAGTGCCTTGTTTCCGACATTCTCGAGACATTCGATAGAGTGTATGAATTAACGGCTTCATCAAGAGGAGAACTAATAGAGCTGAACCTGAATGAATCCATCATGCTCAATTCATGTCAATATAGGTGAGACTGACGCGTAGCTTCTAGCAGCGAAGCGGTCAACCGATCACATCCCCGCCTGAATGGATGGGTGTCGAACTATGCGCTCTCCGTGGGAAGGACATATTGAGGGTTGGATTATCATCTGTTGGGAGAAATGGAAGAACCTTTTCACGATTTGTACCCCGATAAGAACTATCGCAGGCGAGCCCTCAGAGCAGAGGAGATGCATTAATGAGAGCGAAGAACAGTCAGCCTCGTCAAGCACAGTTAAAGCTCCACTAGTCTAATTTAGGTTAGCTCCTTCATGCGCGAGGCTCCCGTATCGATAAGGGCTGCGGAGTCTGCGCATAGAACTTTTTTCAACCGCATCTATTTTGAAACTTGAATTCAACGGCCGGTCCTCGCGCTCGGACGGCGCTGGTGTTAGAGTGCTTGCTTGCTGTCCCGATTTTGCATTTCTTGGTTCATCTACTCCCCCTACATGAGCAAGATTGAGCAGTCACGGTGACTGCACAAAACAATGTCGGCGACTACGACGGGGACCAGCACCAAATGGTCTGTTGAGTACGACACTGCGCGCCGCCATAAGCTCTTCAGAAACACGCCGAAAGATCGCAGCGCATTCCCGGCTCTTCAAGCGGCAGTTAGGCCTCATATTGAGTCCTTCAATGCCCTGTGGGACGATAACCTCGTCGACGCCGGGCTTAAAGACATTGGAATCTATACAGTGGTCGACGGCGACTTACGAAATCCGAGCCGAACAGTCCATCGCAATAGGCTTGATCTGAGAGTGACAGAAGTCATACTTGAGAAGCCCACTCTTCCTCCGAGCAATAAGTTCAGCATTGAAGACCGGAACATATACCCTTCCGAATGTCGAGAGCGGCACACAACCTACAGAGGAAAGTTAAGAGCAAGGCTACAATACAGGGTGAACAATGGCGACTGGCAGGAATCCGTTCGGGATCTCGGACAAATGCCAATTATGTTGCGGTCCAACAGATGTCACCTCGAGAAATTCTCACCCGCACAGATGGTACGCCACAAGGAGGAGTCTGAAGAAATGGGTGGCTATTTCATTGTCAATGGGAATGAAAAGCTCATCCGCATGCTGATAGCAACAAGGAGGAATTACCCCATGGCCATTTCGAGACCCGCATTTGCCGCGAGGGGGCCTACCTTTTCAAAGCTCGCAATCTCGATTCGCTCCGTGAGGCCTGATCAGTCCTCGCATACCAATGTTCTCCACTACCTGACAGACGGGAATGTCACTTTCAGATTTTCGTGGAGGAAAAACGAATATCTGGTTCCCGTAGTCATGATCCTGAAAGCTCTGGTAGAGACGAACGACCGGGAGATTGCTGAGGGTATCATTGGCACATCATCCTCGAACAAAACGCCCAGTTCTTTTGTCGCCGACCGGGTGGAGCTTCTCCTGCGGACGTACAAGGCATACAACCTCAAAACAAGAGCACAGACAATGGCTTATCTCGGGGAGAAATTTCGCCCTGTTCTAATGCAGCCTATAACGATGCCCGATGAGAAAGTGGGCGAGGAGTTTTTGAGGAAGATTGTCCTACCACATCTCGGCAACGTCGACGTCACTCCGTCCCAGAACAACGACAAGTTTCAGCTCATTCTGTTCATGATCAGAAAGCTCTACGCCCTTGCTGCGGGCGACTGTGCTCTGGACAACCCTGATGCAGTCTCCAGTCAAGAGATCCTGCTTGGAGGCTTCCTTTATGGTATGATCTTGAAGGAAAACATCTACGAGTGGCTAGTGGGCATCGGTGCGATGGCCCGAGACTGGCTCAGGTTAAAGAGCGACGCCAACTTCACAGACCCCTCCTTTGAGACCGATTTCCTTCCCAAAATAGTACGGAGGACAAACGAAAACATTGCAGGAAAGCTGGAGTACTTCCTCTCCACGGGGAACCTGGTTAGTCAAACTGGTCTCGATCAGTCTCAGACGTCAGGCTATACAATCATGGCCGAGAAAATCAATTTTTATCGGTTCATCAGCCACTTCCGGTGTATACATCGAGGTGCCTTTTTTGCTCAATTGAAAACGACTACTGTCCGCAAGCTGTTACCTGAAAGCTGGGGGTTTCTTTGCCCTGTTCACACTCCTGACGGTGCTCCATGCGGACTTTTGAACCACTTAGCTCACCAATGCCAAGTTCAAATTAAGCAGATCGACACTTCGGCTATTGAGAACGCAGTGCTTCGGCTCGGAGTGTCTTCCGTGCCTTCAATGGCCGTCAATGAGAGCCTTTCCATCCAGCTCGATGGTCGTATCCTAGGATACTGCGGGGCGAAGAGGACAAGAGAAATCGCCCAGCTTTTACGGCACTGGAAGGTGAATGGAGAGCACAACATCCCGAACGAGCTAGAAATAGGCCATGTCCCTACCTCGAACGGCGGTCTGTATCCTGGTTTGTACCTCTTCACTTCTCCATCACGAATGTTACGCCCCGTCAAGTACATCCCGTCTGATAAGCTTGACTACGTCGGGCCATTTGAGCAGCAATACATGAACATTGCTTGTGTGGATGCGGACATCATACCCGCTCTGACCACGCATATTGAGTTCAAGCCCACAAATATCCTGTCAATTCTCGCCAATATGACCCCTTTTTCGGATTTCAACCAATCGCCTCGAAACATGTACCAGTGCCAGATGAGCAAGCAAGCCATGGGGACTCCTTCCTCGAACATGATGTGCCGAACAGACAACAAGGCGTATCTGCTTCAGACAGGGCAAACGCCAGTGGTAAGACCTCCCCTGTACAACGAGTATGGACTGGACAATTTCCCCAACGGGATGAACGCCGTCGTGGCCGTCATTTCGTATACTGGCTACGATATGGACGATGCCATGATAATTAACAAATCCTCTCATGAGCGAGGGTTCGGTGATGGCGTCATCTACAAGACCAAAGTTTACAGGCTCAATGAGGATTCTAGGGCGTCTCGGTCAAAGACCGAGATCAAGTCACTTTTCGGTTTTGCTGAAGGCGACCCGAACATCTCACAAGAGGTGATTCAGGCGCTTGATCCTGACGGCCTACCCGCAATCGGGACAAAGGTTGGCGAGGGGTCAATAGTTCTAGCTTACCACAGTGTCATGTTCGATCCGTCGGAAGGAAAGCTCAAAAACTTGGACGGGAACACCATGTACTTCAAATACAAGGACACCGAGGAAGCTTACATCGACCAAATCAGAATAATCGGCTCCGAGACAGGGGATCAGCCCTGTCAGGCGATCAGCATCAAGTACAGGATTCCTCGA